AAACAGCAAATCAAACAAAAGTCAGGCAAAGCCATTCCTCAGTGAAGGAAACCAACTCTCTGGAGTTCTTAACATCCTCAATAGCCTTATGAATTTTACATTTCTCTACCCCAGTGAGCTCAATTCCATGGCATATTTAGACCTTTCTACAGCCTAGTTTATATGAGTGTAATGATTAATTTTGCTCTTAATTTTCTCTGTCATTTGGGCCATGATGGTGATTGATGCGGATTACTCCAATGTTAATTCAGCTACAAAGGTCAGAGCTGTATCTATTGCTCAAGAAGCCCCTACAAGTCTTCTGGGGAGGGGCCCAGGGGCCGAAAGGACCCACATAATCTGCCCAACAGGTCTGCCGCACTGGCCTCATGACAGCTAACAGGTTCAATTTGTTCCAAAAGGAATATTTACAGAATGGTAGTAGGAGCCTCTGAGGCTCCAGAAGAACAATACCTATATAGAAAGTATCTGCTTCATTTAAACCTATAAGAGGTAACCATTTGCTAAGAACCAATTCTTCCTTCCTTCTTTTCTTTCATAGGTCATCTCTCCTAAAGTATCTTCCACTTAGCCTACTTTTCCCATGAGGTGTATATCTTCACTTCTTTTTGCTGCTAAGCATGTGGGACATTTAGGTTTTTGCTATTGCCTACATGTTAAAAGGATCAGAGAATATCCAAAATTCAAAGGGACTTCAGAGAGAATTTAGCTCACTCTGTACCTAACAACATTCCCCTGGCAAATGGCTGTACCAGCACAATCTTAATTTGAAGATTTTAAGTGTTGGGAAGAAATGAAGAAATTAATACTCAAAAAAGTTAAGCATCTTACTTAATGCAAATAGATGATAGAACCAGGACTTGAAACCAGATTCTGGATTGCCATTTCAATATTTTTGTCTTCTTGTTTCCTTCTTAACTTGCTATAATCCTGGTACTCTCAGCACTCTCCTGAAATGATTCTCTTGAAGGTTCCTGATACTTCTAGTTAAATCCTTTTCTTAATTTTTGCTTAACCTCTCAACAACATTTTACACCATTAACTACTCTCTACTTCTTGAATAACTTCTTTCTTGGTCTCTCAGGCAGGGTACTATTCTGGTTCATTCCCTACGTCTGCATTTGTCATTCCTTTGTCAGTACTTAATTCTTCTTGGGAGCTTTAAGTGGAATTTCTAAAGGCTTTGTTTGTTTTGTTTTGTTTTATCTCTCTGCTCTCCTATTCTCTAAGTAAGTGCATTCTTTCTTAGAGCTTCAACATTGCCTTTGTGCACAAACTCTCTAAAGAACCTCTCTGTCCCTCACATCTTATATTCATTCCAGTTACGTATTTCCATCTGTCAACATGACATCTCTACTTTGATTCTATATGTTCCCAAATCATACTCATCATCTACTCTTCCAAACTGGTTCCTCTCTCTGTCACCAATATCTCAGGCCAGAAACCCTGGGGTTATCTTTGAGTCTTAATTCTCCTTCATCTTCTGTAGCTCATTTGTCACCAAGTCCTCCCCATATCCTTTATACCACCTTTGTTTGAGTCCTAAATACCTTATGCTAGTGTAGCTTGGAGTATGGCTGTGGCTTCCCTCCCTGCCAGCTAGAGCATGAATCCATTGGCACATTAGCACTAGGCTTTTTACATGACCTCACCTGTAAATCCCTAGAATGTTTCAACACTGCCCACCAAGTAAAGGCTCTCCTAAGTCAACAGGTGCATTTGTAGACTTGGTGCTGAAGAATGGATAGGATTAAATGAGTCCAGGGGAAATGGATTAGGACACTGTCTAATGTGTGAGACTTTTCAAGAAGGAAAAAAAACCATAAAGAGGCAGCTGACTTCTAACTCTATGGGTACTTTCTATATTAAGACTTTAATACCATGTCTGCATCCCTTCAACATGAATGTGTGTGGCAGTGAAGGTGAGAAGTGTGGCCAAAACAGAGCAAATGGCTGTATAGCTGTGGGATGAAATGGGATCTTGGAGGAGGAATCAGTATCCAATTCAGATCGTCAATGGAGCTAAAGGCCCAAGTTGTCTTTGATAAGACACTGACCAACTTAAGTGCCTAGATTGCTAAGTTATCCAAACTGACTGAACATTGATCCTCTGGAAGTTTGGCCACGCATGGAACAATCTTGGGGGATGGGGAAAACCCATTACCTCACAGTGGGACTGAGTTATGTATGGAGGGACTGAGCTTTGAGTTTTATGATTGTGTACATAGACCAGGGGCGCTATAAATAGATTTTGGGGGCTCTATGAACTTGGATGGGAAAAACATTACACCTTCACTTTCACCAACCTTTGGTTTCCTTTTGTAATCCTACATATTTTATTTTATACTTAAAAAAACATTATTCTGAGAAAGGTCCATAGACTTTGCCAGACAAAGGGGTCCATGATATAAAGAAAGGTGAAGAGATCCTATTGTAGACCAAAGAAGGGAGTTGCTACTAGTTGATTTGAAAAAAAAATCAAGGGACCCTTGCCACACACATCACTTAATGTATTGAAATTTCTTTTTTGATTGTCATGATTAAAGAGTTATATGTGGTTATACAATGCTTATGTTAAAGAATACCACTGGAATAGCCCAGGGATAGTTTCCTGTTGCAAATATCCTTAAAATACCATTTTCATGCCTTCTACTGCTCAGAAACTCAGAATCATTCCACTTACCTGTTTTATCAAATCTAAACCCCTATGCCTCACCCATAATGTAGGTTGCTTGTCTAAACTTATCTCCCATTTTGATTTATGTAAACTTCTTGAAAATACCTTTTATGTGCAAGGTACCTATGAATATACAAAATGTATCAAACATGGTGCCTGCCCTCAAGGACATAAAAGTCAATAAGAACCATGGTTCTAGTTCCATAATATGTGGACAAATAAGGTGTGGCTTAAATTTATATCCAACTGTATGTACTTCAGGAATTTGACCATTTTATTGTTGTTGTATGAAGGCTTGTTGTAGGGTATTTTCAGTATTTATGAAAATGATTCTAACATGTCTCTTCCTTGACACAATGATCTCATAAAATACAACAAAAAGACAGAAGGATCTTTACAGTGTTTTTTTTTTTTTAAGCATGAGACACATGTAAATCTAACTTGTCAAAGTATACTTGACAATTTTCACTGGTGGCAAAAAGTGGCCTCAGGCAAATTTTTAATATCTCAGTTCATAGATCCAGGTAAGGCTTAATCAAGACTCCAGGAATGATTTATGAACATTTCCTTTTACACATGTATTGAGAAAAATCACCGCTGTTTATTTTCTAACAACACAGTAGGACTTCAAAATGGAGAAGGGTCCAGTGTTCTCATTAATTTGCTTCCCCATTGCTTACTGTGGCTCCTCAAGAGGAAAGGAACATTGACAGTCCATGGCAACATTTTCTTTGAGATATAGTAGTTTAAACAATTCTTCTGATAAGCCACATACAAGGAGGAAATAAATTCTACTTTGTAAATATTAGTTATGCCCTACGTAATACTCTTGTAATCCCCTGGGATTTCTGAAGATTACTTTTGAAAGTGATATAAGACCGAGTTAACATCCAACCATAACAGAAGCTTAAAGTTTTATGGTGATGGAAATCTAAGGAGCTACCTTGAGATACTGCTTATTGAAGATATAGTGGATGGCACCAAGAATATTGTAAAGAAGGAATATTGAGCTGTCATGATCATATTGGGAAGCTAAAATTGTGTTTCCTGAAGCAAAATTTTCAATGTCACCAATTTAAAAGAGAAGGATGTATTTAATTAAGTACCTAGTTGGCTTTTTTTTCTATTTAGGTTGAAAGGTTATAGAATTCTTTATTATTAAGACATGTTCAAATGATTTAAAATGTATTTAGAACTTCTAAATGTATAACTCCACTAAATAATCATTGTATCACAAGGAAACCTGCAGCTTTGCCAACAGAGACAATTCATACGTGCACCAAGTACGACCATTTTGTTTTAGCTCCCCCAAATAGGTGGCATAAATACAGCTACTATTATGTTGGGGGGATGCAGGCTTATATTTGAAGACAGTAGGGACCACTGCTTTATTAAGTCCTACAAAGCTGTAGAGGCTCTGAATACGTGTCATGCTGGGCATCTCTCTGTTAAGGATTATGTCACTTCAGTGTGGATAGGTTTATCACTAGAAGGATGGCTGTCAGGTGATGATTTCTTAGTTTTGGTCACACTAACTCATGAATACACTGAAGGGGAGGAGGAAATATGATCTGCGGCAGTGGAGGCAACAAAACACAGATGAACCCTTTTGAAACCCTGAAGTAATGGTAATATGTTATGTCAGAAAATAAAAAATAAATTAGAAGATAAAAGCACTTGGCATATTTCAGTCATATAGGGACATTTTTGGCCAGTTTGGTAAGTTGGTTACATAATAGTGACGGTGAGGACAAAGGGCATAAGTTAAATTTCCGTGTGGGTCAGTTAGTTTATTTTGATCTATGGCCACAAACTGAATTAAAAACAATCTTGCATGATCATTAGGTATGCATTTGCAGCTGGACACAACATAAACTGGGGAAGAAAGCATGAAGTGGCGCCAATCTATTCTCATAAATGGAAAAACAACTGAAGGCATATTCCCTACAGAATCTTTTGCATCATATCTCACCATACATGAAAGATAACATGTTATTTTTACTTGGATAAGAATGAAAGTATAGGAGGTGTTATGAAATATTTAAGATGCCATTTTATGCTGTTGTATTAGCACTTGGCGGTTTCATTTCCATGTACATTAAACACGATGTGCATAAATCAAATAACTTTCTTCAGTTTTGTAGGAAGCAAAATCAAAGCAAACACCCTTTAAACATTAAAGGTCTCTAAACAATAAATAAATATATTGACCTTCAATATGCATTCCAATAGGAGGATGCTATTTTCCCCTAACAATCTACCTGGGCTTCCCAAAGTACCCTTTTTTGCAGGAAAAATAAATCCATACTAGTCACAGTCCTACCTGATCTGCTTGCCCTCTCGCATGTCATATAAGGAAAAAAAGACATCTGTATCTTCTCCAATGGTATTGTAGGTGAAACTCTTTAGACTGAGGAAAAAATGATGTGGTACTGGTATCCTGCAGGCTTCTCCATGACGTGGACGAATGGTATCCACCTGTGTGGAGGGATGCAGTAATATTTAACATAGTTTAATTAATCAATAAGCATTTATTAAAGGCTTACTATACTCTAGGCATGGTGAATAAACACTGAGGAAACAAAGAAAAAGGAAAAACAATCCTTACATTTTTTTTACATTCGAATGGGGGAGACAACATGTCCATAAATTGGTAGATCTATATAAAGTAGATAGAAGGTGATTATTGTTGTTGTTTGTCCTTTGTTTCCAAAGAGAACCAATGACATCAGGAGGTAATGTTAGAGAGGAAAGCACTACCATCTAGGGCGACTTGGAAAAGCCTTCTGAAAAAGGTAGAGTTTTCACTGAATCTTGAAAACAGCCAAGGATTCTAAGAAGTATAGATGGGAAAGGAGAATGTTCCAGGCATGGGGGGGGGCAGTTAGTACAAAAGTATAGAGACAGTAGTTACATGTAAGGAAAGGCAAATAGGCTAGTATGGCTGATTCAGAGACTCTGTAGAGGTGAGTAATGTGTAAGAAGACTGGAAAGGTAGGAAGGGGCAAAGTTGTGAGGAGCTATAAATGCCAAATAGAGGAATGTCCCGTTGATCCTAGAAGTAATGGGGAGCCTTTGAAATTTAATGAGTTGGGGGTGGGGGAGTAACATAGTCAGACTTATGCTTTGGGAAAACCATTTTGGCAGCGGTATAAAGAATGGATTAGAATGGAGAGAGTCTTGAGGGAACAATGAATTAGAAGGCTACTACAATTGCTGAGGTAAGAGGTGATGCAGAACTGAATGAGGTGTGGTGCTTATGTAAATGGAAAGAAGGGGCGATGTATATATATGTAAGTATGTATATATGTATGTATGTACATATATGCACATGTACATATATACACATGTATGATATAATATGTAACACTGTAATCTATAGTATATATTACACATAATATAATAATATAATATAAGATTGTGTGTATATATCATAGAGAAAGAAATGGCAAAGTTTAGCAACTGATTGGTTAAGTGGGACAATTGAGAATGGGGAGTTGAGGATGACAATAAGGATGTGAACCTGGGTGTCAATGCCCCGTTAAACAGGACCAAAGGTGAATTATATTCATTAATATCTCTTCAATGAATTGCTGCAGGGAAATATCTCCAATTTTTTAATAACACTCTCATATGTCCTCCACCTTTCTTCTCCTCCTTGTTTTTATATATATATATATATATATATACTGGTATAAAGCCAATTTTTTTCTTTGCCAATGTGCATGAATGAGCCAAGATGATAGAATCCTAGTGTTAGAGCTAGCTAGGACTTTAGCAGAGACTAGAACCCAGGTCTCTTGGTCACAGTCTGGATACTTTACTAGCTGTTTTTATAACAAGTAGAGCTCTGATAAAACTAGAAAAAAAATCTCATTTTCATTTACATATCTATAGTCAGGATATTAAAACTTGCTTAGATGGTATCAGTCCTTAACAGAAGCCTGCACAAACACACTCTGACAATACTTTGTAATTCCTCTATACAGGGATAGGTTAGCAAAAGTTAACTAAAATAACCCCTTAGAATAATCCTTATGTTTGTACAGTTCTTTAGACTTTTCAAAGATTTTCATATATATTATCTCACTTGAGATAATACTAAAGGAAGCTATAATAACATCCCTGACAATGAGACTCTTTTTAATAAAGGGGCATGCAGATTAAAGGATTTATTATTGCTAAAAATATGGCTGCATTCATTCCAGTTTCGTTTAAAGCACCTGCAAAAGACATTGCCTGTTTGCCATGAGAGGATAAATAACACCAACTAGGGTCTGCATTAAGGTAGCAACAGAATCAACTGGTATCATCTAAGAATATAGCACAAAGAACGGGATGGTCAAAAGGTCAAAAAGATGATGCCTAGAAATAAAAAAGAGCAAAGGAACAATAGAAATGAAAACAATTGAAAATATAAAATACAAGTCATTGGGTTGCTATTGGCAACTGGATATTTCTGACTGATGAGAAGGTGGGAATTCTCGCTCCTGAACCAGGTTCTAGATTTGTGTCAGTGCCTTGAATAGATGGTGCTGTTTGGAGTATTTATTGAGGGTGTTGGCATCTGGTTATTCTGGTCATACCATGTGTATAATAAGCAAATCAGGCAGGCAGGCATGGAGCTAGAAGCCAAGAGGTTGGTTTAAGGTTGATGGGGCACTGCTACTGGCCCCACTCCGAGAAAGAATTTCTGGGGATCAACTTTTGAAATGAACAGTAAACAACCTCAAACTTACTGCTGACAGAGATCACGTCCCTCCCTAGCATCATGGTGGATTTCGTGGTGTACTTTGTGTAAAGTTCAGAATGCACTTTTGTTTTACCTTTTTTCACTCTTACACGATTCCCATCAAGTAGGTAAGAGCAGTCGTTATTATTTCCATGTTACAAATGGAGACATGGACAGCTAAGGAGGGTACAGAATTTGCTCCAGGGTACACTATGAATCTGCAGTCTAACTGCGAAAACGTGTATTAAAGAACCGTCTCCCTTAGGCTGCTTCTGGATAGCTAATTTCAAGGCTAGGTTGGAGCTGAAATTATGAAGTGATTATACATTCATAAAAAGGGTGACCTCACCAGCCTCTGACTACCCGAGGAGTTCTCAGTGCTTGGCGGTGAAAGGGATAGCTTTTGTGGAGGGGGAGTAATGTTGCCAGGAGATTATGTGCTGTTCTTCAGTAACCGCCAAGCGGCTGCCCATTTCGGGCCTGGAGTCTCAGGCAGGGAAGCCAGTCCTCGATAGTGTTGACAGACTCAAAGGTCAGCTGATGTATGGGTCATGGATCCCAAGATGAAAGATGACTTCAAACAAGAAGTCAATTACTTCCCGATGCATTCTCATATCTTAAAAGAAGGCGAACAACTGGAAATGACAAGAGGTTTTTTTTTTTTTAAGCCAGCTTACCTGGGATGTACTTTGCTGCACACTGTGCCGGCTAGATAAGTGCTAGGGGAAGAAAAGAGAGCACTTGATCAATCAGTTAGCAGTTGTTTGTTTTCTGAGTAACAAACCCCTTCCCAGCACGGTGTGAGAGACAAGTTCCTTGGGGCTTTAATATTTACTTCAGCGTAATTCTTTCTGCAATACCTATATTATATACCAGCTGCCACAGTGGTCTAAATACATGGATAGACCATATTTCCCCTCCTCTCTACACCTCCTACCTCCCATATACGTCTCGAAAAAAACCTTTGTCCAGGCATATGTGGTTATATATAGACACACACACACACACACACACACACACACACACACACACACACACATACTCTCCCCCATTCCACCCTGCTCCTCTGCACAGAAGTTTCATTTAGGGATAGATACAACTCAGTAACCTTTCCTAAGTGAACCCTTAGCTCTAACCTGAATACACCTTTCATTCTCTTGCCTTGGCTACCTTGCCCATATGGAATAGCCTTTTTCATTCTCTCTGCCTGTGGAAATCTTACCTGCCATTCAACGCTGTGCTAGAGAGTGAGCCATACTATGAGGCCAGGGGTGGCATCTTATCAAAACTGCGTCTGTCCTCAGAGTCTCGGTATGGAACTCTACGCACAGTAGGACCTTAAAATACACATTAAATTGAATTTGGAAATCTCTGCCCCTCTGTGGAGCTTTTCCTTAAATTACACGCATGGCACATAGGAAATTCTTGATAATTGCTGGCTGAATTTAAGTGATCTCAGCAAATGCCGATCCCAAAGTTCAGTTGTCCTGACTTTAATCTGATAACACAAGGAGCCAAAAAAAAAAATAGCAATCTAATTCACTTCTCTAAAGCTAATTGTCACAGAGGAATTAGGTAAATGTAGTATTTTCGTTTAACAATTTTAGTGCTGACATATAACAATGTTATTCTTTCTGCTAATAATCAGGCAAGCATTTACCCTGACCCAAGGAAATGTTTAAAATATTTTAGCTATTATTATTGTACTATAGTCACAAGTTGGGGGTGAGGTGCGGGGACAGAAGATGTGCAGAAGGAAAGAAAATAAAAAATTGGTATCAGTAAATCAACAAGGATTTATTAAGTACCTATTATGTGCCAGGCACTGAAAATAAAAATACAAAAGCAAGACAGCCCCCTCACTCAAAGACCTAAGATTTCAATAGGTATGAAAACTAACTTATGTGGATGCTACAAGTACATGAACCAAATAACTTGACTGATTATCTTGATTGTCTGAGGTTATGGAAGAATAATCCCCTCCAGTGTATTGGAATCATCTCTAGTATCTAATCTGATGTGAAAGCAACGGAGCTGTAACAAGTACTCTTGAACACATGGGTCCTTTTCTTCTTTCTTTAATCTCTTTGGGATTATAGACCAAGTAGTGGCATTGCTGGGTCTGAACGGTTTAGTTTTTTGGGCATAGCTCCAAGTTGCTTTCCAGAATGACTGGAGTGATTCACAGCTCCACAAGTGAATTAATACACTTGTTTGCCTTCAGCCCCTCCAACATTTCTCATTTTTTGGTAAGCTTTGCCAGTCTGATGGGTGTGAGGAAAAACATCAGAGTTGCTTTCATTTTTATTCACCTCATTACTAGTGGTCTGGGGCATTTTTTCATATGGCTTTAAGTAGTCTTCCTTTGAGAACTGCCTGTTCATATCTTTTGATTATTTATCAATTGGGTAATGGCTCTTATTCCAATATATTTGAATCAGTTCTATATAAATATGTACATACACATATACGTATATATACACAGATGTGTGTATTTATACACATCTGTGTATATTCTAGGGAAACTATCTGCAAATTTTTTTTCCTCCGGTTAATTATTTCTCTTCTAATCTTTGCTAAATTGGATTAGTTTATGCAAATACTTTTAAATTTTATGTAATAAAAATTGTCTATTTTAACTTCAGTGATCCACTCTAACCTTTATTTAGTCATGCATTCTTCTTTTATCCATAGTTTCAAACAGAATTTTCTTTTTTGTGTCTCTAACTTGTTTGTGATCTGACCTTTTATAACCAAGTAATATAGCCATCTGGAGCTCATTTTGCTACCCCTAAATTTTTTTTTTCTATTTCATCTATAGCATGACAGTTTTTTTCAGCCTCCCAGAGTCTCCCTCTATGACCATCACTCAGTAACCTCTTTTCCTTGGAGGTTCACTCAATTCGTATTTATCACCCCATCTACATTTCTCTGCCTGTTGATTCTGGTAGCTATTTTCTTCCCACCTGGAGGACACTCTCTTTCCTTCCTCACTCAGTGCCAAGCTCATAGCCTTTCTTCACCAACTCTTGGCCTTATACTAGGCAACTACAACATAGACACTGATAGTCCCTCAAACACCCCAACTTCCCAGTTCCTCAACCTACTCATTTCCCCTTGACCTCTTGCCCTACCTCACTTCAGTTCATCACCTACAACTGTTCCATTTCATGTCCATGAACTCTGATTTCCTTTATTTAAAATAATCAAACAAAAAGGCCTCTGTTTTGCCTTTAAGAATCCTCAGAGTCTGGCCCTTCTCACCTTTCTGATCTTGTACATTACTCCCTTCCATGTGCTCGGTGATCCAAAGACACTGTTTTCCTTGAGGTTCCCATACAAGACATTTTATCTCTTGACTCCTTACATTTTCAGTCTGTTCCCCATTCCTGGAATGCTCTCTCTCCTGAATTCCCTGCCTTCCTTTGAGTCTCAACTAAAAATCCCACCTTCTGTGAGAAGCCTCTCCCCTTAACACAACTGCCTTCCTGTTATGATTGTCTATAATTTCTCCGGTTAATGTTTTGCTTGTACTTAGTTTTTTATAGGTTGTTTCTGCACTGAAATTGTAAACTTCTTAAGGACAGGGACTGTTTTGCCTTCTTTTGTATTTCCCGTGCTTAGCAATGTGTCTTAAATACAGGAGGTGCTCAATAAATGATTGTTAATTTGCCTTACTTGTTGCCTTGAAAAAGAATGATAGCAAGGAGAATTACAGCTATTGCAAAAAGATAATGGATAAAAGAAAATATAATGGAAAGCTGGAATCAAAGGGAGAATGGGATGGCTGAAAGTGTACCACAGTAAACTTAAGTCTTTATCTGGATATGAGTAAGGGGACTATTTGGGGACTATCAGGTCTATGAGCAGTAGGCTTTTTGGAGTAGGATGGAGTTATGTCACAGGGAGGTGTTGGGTGGGATGTTCCATTGGAAATTAGGGATTATAAGCTTTGTCTGTGCTTTTCTTTTTGTTTTAAAATTTTTTATTAATGCATTATGTTTTAAAATCAAAGTAATTTCTGGGAGCCCTTCCCCTTCGTCCATATTGAACTTTCCCTTATGACAAAGAAAAATGATTAGCAAAAACATTCAATACAGTAACTTCATATACAGAATTCTGACTGAACAATTCATGCAAAATCTATTTAACTTTATGTAATCATACTTCCTAACTCTCTTGACGTCCATTTTTATCTTGGTCACATAAAAAAGATGACCAAACCCTTAACCTGACCTTCACCTCTAATTTAGAGAGAATTAGAGATTTAGAGACTGAAGGGATCTTGGTAGTCATTTAGTCCAATCTACCATTATTTTATAGCTGAGGAAACTGAGGCCCAGTGAGGTGAAGTGATTTGCCCAAGGTCACAGTGGCAGAAAGTAGCTGAGGCAGGATTTGAACCCAGGTCCTTTGATTCCAAACACAGAGCTCTTTATTAGACTTCCTTAATGATATGTGCTTCTTTAAAAGGTGAGAGAACTATGAAGGGAACTAGGCTAGATTTTGACCAATAAAGTAGAACTGGTAGATTTCATCTTTTGTGATAGATGAAGAGGGTGAAATGCAAAACACAAGAAACCCGCTAGATTTTGGGACAACAGAATGCAGAGCATTTGGGAAAAAGCATAGGTAAGATCTCATTGCCTAAAGTTTCACAGGGAAAGTTGGCACATAAGGAGGATTGTAACAACACAAATGGAAATAATTCTGATGAGGAAGAAAAGGAGGAGTTGTCTGAAAAGGCAGGTGCAGATGCACAGGAAGCTCATTAACCAAAGTGTTTTAAAAAGCTGTAGAGAGGAGGGGAGCCAGGGCAGGTGACCGAGGATGACAGTCCCATAAGAAGAGCCTGTAACAGTGGTGTCAGGATTGCTCAAAGAATGGCTTGAGACTGGAGATGAGGACAACAGAAAGGGATTAAAAAATTATGTCTGGAGAAAGAGGAAGAACAAGGAAGGAACAGTACCAGTTCTACAGGTAGACAGGAAGATTATAACCGAGAGAAAGCAGGACTCTTTAGCTAGTCTGATTTTTTTTTCCATGAAGAAGACCAATCTTTTAATTGGGAGGGATAACATAAAAGGTTAAGAGGGAGTTGAAACTTGAGACAAGTGAGATGCTTTTGAGACAAGAGGACAAGTTCAAGTCACCAAGTTTAGACAAATTCCATACTCAGGTACTGAAAAAATGGGCACATATTATTACTTTGCTGCTGTCAGTGATTTTTGAGAAAAAAGAGGGTCAAGTCTTCAAACCATAGACTACATATCATTGTTTACAGGATGGTTTTGAGTATTTTAGGAATGGAACTGCTGATTAACAAAAGGCCATGTTAAGCTCAGAATATGCCAGACTAACCTAATTTCTTTTTGGTAGGGTTACTAGGTTGGAAATCAGGGGGATTCTATAAGGATAGCATTGCTGTACACTTCTACAAGGAATCTGTAAAAGTTACTTTAACTTTTTTTAATTGAATATGTTTTTATATCATAGCGACTTTCATTAACTGTTCTACCTCCATAACCCAGAATTTATCTCGATGACCATAACCTCTTATTTTTTTGTTTCTTCCTCTCTCTAACTTATCTTAAACCTATTCTTTGTCCTCATCATAACTGTCAGTCCTTCCATTTCTTCTCATTCTCCCAGTCCATTGGTTCTTCATTATATCTCTTCCCTCCCTTTCCCCCCTTTTCTTACCTGACCCTATAGTTCAACAATTCAACCACACATTATCAATTACCTTTGAATTCATTGTTCCTTTGGCCTTTCAACATTTATGCCTGGCTAAACCCAAATCCTAAGTCTGCCTCCATCATCAGCTTTATCTAATCCCATTCACAGGCTGCTGAACACCATGGAGAAGAGTCATGTAATCATGCCTGGATGTACTACAACTTTATGTTATTTGATCTCAACTGGTGTAAAGGCGATCCTTTTATCTTTCCATGATTATCACAATCTCTACACTGTCTATTGGAAACCCTCTCTTTTCTCCTCAAACCACTTTCTCCCCTTTCCATTTCAGCAGATGATCTCACCTTCCTGCTTTGCTGAGGAAACAGAAACCATCCACTGTGAGCCCCATCTTCTCTCCTACTCTAGACTTCAGTCATCCTTCATCCTCTAGAGTCTCCTCCTTTGTTCCAGTCTCTGAGGAAGAGGTGGTTCTTCTTGCCAATCCAGCCTCTTGAGTTCTACTTTTCATCCCATCCCTTCTTATGCTATTCCAACTATTCTCTCTCCTTCATCTTCAACATTTCTTTACCTTCTACCTAAAACCATGTCCGTGTCTCTCCCATCTGACTGTCTCATCCCCTCGGGTGGTAGACCCGCATCTCTTTTACCTTTAATAGCCACACTCCGAGAAATGTTCATCTACTCTTCTTGCCTCCACTGCCTCATTTCTTTTCTCTCCTAGGCCATCAGTAATTTCATGACTAAAAAGTCCAGGGTATTTGTTCAGTTTTATTCATAGGTGACTTCTCTGTAGCTTTTGTCATTTCAACCATGCTCTCCCTCCTAGACATTCTTTGCTCCCTTGATTTCTGTAAAATGGTTTCTCTTGGTTATCTTCCTACTTATATGACCATTCCTTCTCAGTCTGGATCATCTTAATTTTCCTACTCATTAAGTATGGACATCCCTTAAAGGTCTGTCCAGAACTCTCTTCTTTCTTTATTATTTTCCTTTGTGATCATATCATCTCCCTGAGTATAATGATTATCTCTATGCAGATGACTCCCCAAATTTATATCCATCTCTAATGTGTCTCCTGAATTCCAGTTCTGTATTACTGACTATCTGCTGGACTGTTTTACCTGGATATTCCATATCTATGTCAAATTCAACTTAGTCATAACGGAACTTTTACTTTCTTCCATACCTATCCTTATTCCAAGTTTCAATATTTTTGGTGAGGGCACGAACATCCTTCCAGTCACTGTTTCACAACCTCGGAGTCATTCTCAACTCTTCCCTCTTCCTCTCCCCATATCCAATAAATTTCCAAGTCTTGTCTGTTCTACCTCCATGACATCTCTCCTCTTGGTCCCTTCTCTCCACTTAATTCATTTTCTACCTCAGTTCAGGCCCACATTACCTTTCACCTTTAATTCATTTTCTACCTCAGTTCAGGCCCACATTACCTTTCACCTGGATGACTATAATAGCCTCCCAAGTGCCCTTCTCATTTTTAGCACTTTCCTACTTCTAATAACTCTTCCAGAGAGCTGCCAAATCAATATTCCTAAAACAAACATCTGATAAATTCATTTTCCTATCCAAAAATTTTCAGTGTTTCCCCATTGCTTTTATGATTAAATACAGAAAATCTTAATTCTCCACAATCTGCTTCCTGCTTACTTACAGTTTTGGTCTTATTTCTCTGTTTCAGTCATACCAGACTGCTTGTCGTTACCTATGTGTGACATTTTGTCTCCTGTCTCCAGGTCTTTGCCCAAGTAGTTCCCCAGTCTTAAGTTACCTCCTTCAGCACCTCTAGAGTTCCTTAGATATGTATCTTCCCTCAGATTTCTTACCATTTTATAGAGATCGGAGACACTAATCTGATCAGAATCCACCACTTCAAAGTCCTTTCGAGGAACTAGGTCCAGGCCCAAATGCCTATTAAAGAGAGAGAAACATAAGAAGCACATAGTACATCCCCAACTTTATCTACCCATTTTCCATGGTCATATAAGGTACTTCATATGCTATGATCCTTGGGATACAGAGGTTCAAACTTCTTGTTGACAATGCTGAGTTGAATTTGCCTTTGAATTAAAGGAGAGCTTTGTTCAGCAAATGAGGTCAGGGATTTTGTGACTGATAAAATGTCAGTAACTGAGTACTTCTATTTCTCCTTGTGATATCATTTTAATTATTCATCTGATGACATTTTTATAGCAGATTCCTTGAATGTCTTAAGATTGAGTTTGTAGTAGGTTAGTAATCAGTAATTCACTATAGCTTTCCTTTTTCTCACTCTTATAGACGATTGACTTGGCTCTGTTATGTATGCATAAGATTGCTCACCAGATAAGAAAACTTCAGAAGGACCAAGTTAATCTACCACAAAGTGAAACATGTTAAGAATACTACCTAAAGGTATTAAACCAATATGGAGGTTTTAGAGGAACTTAATTCATTTTCAACCTATTGCATTAATATTGGCAAAATTTCCCTCACAGAGACTTGGCCATATGTAGCTTTAGCACTTTCAGAAAATCTGCGATGAAATTTACTATAGTGGAATCACATATTTGCAGGGTAGGTTAGGTTCTAAAGTCAGCACAAGGGTGAAAATTGCATGTAGTCAAAATTACCTTTGGAAAATCACTAAAAACACCCATAAGCATGGTGTCTTTTTTCCAATTTTATTTTCAATTCCCAATTCTCTCCCTCTTCCCACTCCTCTCCCACTCATTGAGAAGGCAAGAAATGTAATATCCATTACACATGTGAAGTCATGTGAAACATATTTCTGCTTTAGCCATGTTCTGGAAAAAAAAAGATAAAACCAAGAAAAAGAAACAAAGAGAAGAAATATGCTTCACTCTGCACTCTGATTACACCAGTTCTCTGTTTTCATCATGTGGTGGGTCACGGTATTGATTGGTGTTATTAAGCCTTTTGTAGTTGATTATCTTTACAATATTACTGTTACTGTGTAAATTGTTCTCCTGGTTCTGTTCACTTCACTTTGCATCAGTTCATATAAGTCTTCCTAGGCTTTTCTGAAACCATCCCCTTATTTCTTATGGTATAATGGTATCCCACCACCTTCATATACCATAACTCATGGCATTCCTCAGTTGAAGGGCATCACCTTAGTTTTCAATTTTTTGCCACTACACAAAGAGTTGCTATAAATCCTTTTCCTTTTTTGATCTCTTTGGGGTATAAACTTAGAAGCAGTATTGCAGGGTCCTATTAAACTACTGTATAGTTTAATAGCTTTTTTGGCATAGTTTCAAATTGCTCTCCAAAATACTGGGACTAGTTCCCAATTCCACCAACAGTATATTAGTGCACCTATATTCCCACATACCTCCAACATTTGTCATATTCCTTTTCTGTCATATTAGCCAATCTGAAGGGTCCGAGGTAGTACCTCAGAGTTGTTTTAATTTGCATTTCTGTAATTATTAGTGATTTAGAACATTTTTTCCAATAGGGGAGCTTTAAACAGATACAGCAGGAAAGGGGCTAAGGTCTCTTTAAAATAAAGTAGTTATTATGGTAGTTGGTACCAGAAAGTAGCAGAATCTAAGATGGTTCTAATGGAAACAACTGAATGGAAATTTTATTTTTCATGAGGGACACAGCCCAGCTATTGATCACTAGATAAGGGAAACCAAGATACCTACCAAAAGAGAAAAAATTTTAGATATAAGAAGGTTTAGATGTAAGGAAAACTGATGATCAGGGGAAAAAACTCTTGAAAAGGTCTCACACATAAATGTGATGATATTTGAAAGTGATTATATCACCATGTATTTGTTTCTTATTCCTGTTTCACCAGGAGGCAAGACAGAACACAAAGAAGTCAAATGTAGAGGCTTTCTAGCCAACCAGGAATGCTAGGTAGACTAAGACTATCTCCCCCTTTCCCAGCCTAAGCAGATTAAAAGGTTAACTAAAGCTAATGCTCACAAAAGCTTGATGTCTTAAGGAACACCTTACATGTATTAACTCATTTGATCCTTACAACAACCCTGTGAAATAGGTGCTCTTATTATCTTTATTTTACAGTTGAAGAAACTGAGGTCAACTGAGAAAGCTTGTGATTTGCCTAGGTGTCTGAAACAGGATTTAAACTCAGGTCTTCCTGACTCCAAATCCAGCATCCTATATCCCCTTGCTGTCCTAGACTGTCTGAGTGAATAGAAAGGCTTTGGAGATGATGAAGAAGAGAACTTAGAATCACACAATTTGGTGGAGGTGGTGGGAAGGTTTCTTATTTCATCCTCCCATTCTGGGACACATTCTCATAGTGGAGAATGGGCACACAATAGTCAAACTATTATCTCTTTCTATGGCAGCTGTAAAGTTGAATTCAGATAAGTTTAATATGCATATGACTTGACTGCCCTGTACTTATGAAGACGTATTATGGAGTTCTTGCAAATAAAAGATGTTTTCTCATACCTAGGGATCTGAGGGAGGTGGGAAAGCTCTGGTAGGTCTTACAGCTGACAGGGTGGGAGAAAAACCCCATAGATTGTGGAAGGAGAAGCATGCATTCTTATCTGAGCGATAAGACTGTAAGCTTTGCAGTGCCAGCCACGGCCATAATATTTCTCTCCCATTCCCTGTAATATATGTCACAGTGGTAGCAGGAATTTAACAGACTCATTGGGTAAGAAATAAACTGAACTTGATGAATAACATCATGAAGAGGAACTTTCCACCACTCTTCTTATCACACAATTCATTAGCAACTGGATGACACAGTGAACTTTACTAATTATTGTATAAGGAAATCATGAGAGAGGGAAGATATTTTTATCCCTATCAAATTTATACTGAGGAATTCATGCATCATCAGGTTGCTAAAGGTTAACACCAACACTAATGCCAACCAGTCAGTGTTGCTAACACTATGTGATAGGATATTACTAAGGAGAACAAAACATTACGGTCTACTTTTAACTGATATTAGCATTTCTAATTCTACAGGTTCTTTCTGTGCAAAAATACCTCTCACTTATTTTAAAAGTTGACTATGTGTTCCCCCAAAGTGCAGAATTTATTGGTGATATTTTCTTGGTGAAAAGGGCAATAATCTATGGTTAGCCTCACAAACAGAGTTGAGGTAAAGTGTAGTGGAAAGAGCATAAAGCTTGGGAATCCAGAAGACCTTGATTCTAGTCCTAATTCTAACATTTACTAGCTCTTAACTATGACAAGAAACTTAGTGGTCATGGGAAAGTAATTTCTTCACTGAGTCCTTTTTTGACCTTATCTGTAAAATGGAGTATTAATACTTGCACTCTTTACCTTGAAGGATTGTTACGAGGAAAGTGTTTTGCCAACCTTAAAGTTCTAAAGAAAGGTGTGATTTTACGTTATTATTACTATAACCTTACAAGGTACTGGCAAAAATGACATTGAAAATCTGACAAATTATTTTAAAGATAAGACTAGATCCAGTGTCGATGTTGAGTTCCTTCAACACATTTAAATGAGATGCCTGATTATAGATTCTGTTTCTCTACTTCTAAGATCTAATTCTCAGAGCAACTGTGGACCACATTCCATTTCTTTAATCTGCTGCTCTCAATTTCTTTGAAATAGCTTTAGACCCGTACCTTCAAAAATTGTGTTCTAAGTCATTAATATTTTAGTGGAACAATAAAAATCTAGAAATATTCTCATTCAGTAGCTTTCTCACTTTGAAGACCATCTGAATTTTTGGAAGAGTTTTATTTCACAATTATTCTCCAAATTATGAGATGACATAAAACACAAACTTGGAAAAGTCTGATTGTTATAATCAGAAGCCAAGAATTTTAGCACAATGACTTGAATCAGAATATTGGAGGGGAAGCTTTTTTGATGCAATGTACAATAGTCCTTGTAGTCAGTCATAATAACAATACTGGAGCCGAGGGCACACACTTTATGACTGAAGAGTTCTCAATTTAACCTTCACTGTTTCTGGAAGGTTTCTTGAAACCTTTACTGTTTCATGGCACATGTAGCCCAATAAGTGAAATTTCTAGAGCTCATCAAAGTTTCCTGCATCTATCATCATAGCAATCATTACTATAATCAGGATTTTTTTTCTTTCTCCTGCTAGTTAGTATACTCTTCAAGTTAGGTTAGAGCCCAAGAAAGGGCAAGTTAGTGGCTCATTCCTTGTAAATGTCCTGCTATACATATGAATATAAACTAATATTTCTGTCTTAGCTTATAAGTTTTATGAGGGTAAGAAATGCTTTTTTTTTTCTTTGATTCATTGCAAATTCAAATGTCCGGTATAAGGGCCATACTCAAATGTTGTCTGATAGCTGTTACTTGACAATAAGGAAGGATGCATAGAAAAAGTAAACATACATAAAGAAATCTCCCTTGAAGACCAAATTCCAAAAACAGTAAAGGTTCACTTGAGAACTCTTCAGTCACAGAACATGCCCTTGGCTCCAATATCAATACTCAACAAGCTGAAACAAACTTCACCGAATTCAGCAGCAGGAAGAATACTAGATGTGATCTCTTCATCTCTGGAGCTTTTAAGAGAAATTTGCAGAAAGCAATTCTAATGGCAGCACATTTTAGCAGATGAAACATTAGGCTAAAACTCAGGACTGTCACCAGTTGGGATGGAAACAAACTGGTCATGCCTTGGTTCCCCCAGCTGTGAAGTAAGAATGATACTTACAAAAAGCCAAGTCAATGCTTGCGAATTGTTGCTTACCTACTGTTTGTGTGGGGTAAGTGGGAAAGACTATTTCCTTGGATTTTCTGCTATCACTGCCAGAAATGTGTGTGGGCTGACTTATTTATAAGGCTGCTTTACAGGAATGGCAACACATAAATTCAAAATATGCAGTAACAGCAAGCTTTTGTGGCTAGAGTTAAAATGGGAGATATAGTTCTGCACTTTGATACAAAAATAG